TGTGCACTCCGCACCTTCTAACTAGTTTGATGACGTACACTCAAATTCATGTCTTACCTTAGTAAATTCAATCACACAAAATAACCAATGATACTAAAATCATCCACAAATTACCTCTCCTTCAAATCTTGTGATCGAGTATTATAACTGTGACTTTTAAATGAGGAGTTCCAGTGTTAAGGCCATGTTGTTTTGGATTAGAAAAATAAACTTCCAACTTCTTTCAATTCCTTCCAATTTCTTTCAACAACGACTTCAAAAAATATTTATATATGATCAATAGAAAATAACATTATATCTCCAAATTTATAACATATCACCTCCCACACAGATAATGATGAATTTTTTTATCCAAAATTAAAATTTTCTTCTATATTTATTAAGATGATCATTTATTTAAGTGGCTTTTTAATACTTAAATTTTTTTAACATTTTTCAAGTCCTTCCAATTTTTTCCGAACTCCCAGTTTCTTCCAATATCCAACTCTGAAATTCCAACCCAAAAGAACATGACCTAAATCTAAGGAGATATTAAGCCTTTGTTTGAGATTAATATTTGTTATTCATTAGTGTTTCTTAGAAAATATAAAAACTGTAAATTAATTTTGAAAATAAGAATGCTAACGATAGACCACTATCAGAAAACTTTTTCGAAATACTTACATTTTATTATTACCAAACGGGACCTAAATCTATATAATTTATTAATAGTTGAAATGTATAATCCCTCCGCCCATCCGTCCAACAATTTACTCCTCATATTGACTTTACGCGCACGTTTTAGAGAAGTAAAAATTACTTTGACTTTCTCTTTTTTGCTAGTGAATTGTTAGAGAAAGTAAATTATCTTAAAAGATTAGAACTGTTTAACTGCAAAAATGGATAAATACTCAAAGGTATTTTCTTTAAAAAAAGGATGAGCCCCATCCTCGATGACCTCCTCAGACTCGGCCAAATAGCAATTAAGAGGGGGCAAATTGGATTTTAATCGCAGATTGATGGCAAAGAGTGGAGCATGCACCTGCTACTTGAAGAGGACCCATGCTTAACCTATTTGCCTCCCAATACAATTGTCAGAAATCAGACTTATGTCTACCTTTTTCGCACTCTCTGTTTTTGTCACATGTGCAACGCCCCCTGGCATTCAAAGGTATTTTAAACTTGAACAAATTTTATAAATGGTCCTTAATTACGATGACTTTTCATATTTAGTCTCCAATCTTTAGATGTTTTATAAGTAGTCTTCAACTTTGGAAAACTATTTCACAAATAGTCATTTAGGCCAAATATGAGAAAATATTTTTCTACAAATAATCTCTGAAGAATTGATTATTGAATAATTTCAAAAATTAAGTATCATTTGTAAAATATCTAAAAATTAGGGAGTGAATATAAAAAAACTCTTGTAATGTTTTTTATACTCCGTATAATTTAATCTTTAGACTTTAGCTATTAAAAAAAAGACAGCGATGGGGCCTACAACTGCGAGTGGGTCCTAATGATAGTGGTCCACACTCCGCACTCGTCCGTATAATCCAAGGGCGGAATGGCGGTGAGGTTTAACGATGGTGGACCCTCACAGCATTGACTCTTTTACCTGCCCATTTCCTGCAAACTCTTCTCCATGGTCCATACCAAGTCTACGCACCGTTCAAAAGTAAAAATATTACTACCTCCGTTCAAAAAAGAACTTCCCGGTTTGACCGGGCACGCAAATTTATATGTGATGAAAATTGTGTTGACTTTTCCAATATGCCCCTTAGCCCTATTGCCTCTCTCCACCGCCCCTCCCCTCCACAACTTCCCACTGTCACTGTCGCAGACCCGCCCCCACCATTGCAACCCCCCTCTACCA